TGTGTGTGTGTGTGATGACGTACATTAGGATTGTGGGTGTGAAAGCGCTCCTCATCAGTGATATACAGCTCATCTGGAGATCGGGGTCTTTCTGGAGACTCGACTCCAGTCAGCAGATCCAGGATCAGCCGACTGCAAAAACACACACAGGCTTTCTGCTCCAGCTCCTTCTGCAAACACACACACACAAACACACACGCATATATGCACACACACACACATGCATTCACACAAGCACAAACAAACACACACACACATTCATGAAGATCCACAGACATGCACACACAAACACATGCATGCACACACACCTGCACACACATACATTTGCGCAAACATGCACACAAACATGCACACACACGGGCATACACACAACCATGTACACATACATACACACAAACATGCACACACACACATACACAGACAAAAACATGCACACACATACATTTGCGCAAACATGCACACACACACATACATACACGCAAACATGCACACATATACACGCAAACATGCACACAAACATGCACACACACACACATACACACAAAACATGTATACACACAGGCATGAACATAAACATGCACACACATACATACATGTGAACATGCACACAAACACACACACATACATACACACAAAACAGGCATACACATAAATACACGAGAACATGCACACACACACACACACACACACACACACACACAAACATAAATAGACAAACATGCACACACACACACACATGCATGCATGCAAGCATACACACAAAAATGAACACACACAAACATGTACACACACATGCATACACACATATACACAAAAGGTGAGTTCCCAAGAATTTTATAGGATTAAATCAAATGTAAACACACACACAAAACACACATACATATACATTAAACACACACACACACACACACACACACACACACCTGCAGTGCCATCCTCTGCTCTGCACTTTTGTCCTGGTCTAAAGCCACGCCCCTCAGGATGACATGCACTGAAGCTCCGCCCATCAGCACCGGGTGTGTGTTCAGGCGCCAGACCTCGAGTCAAGTTCATGAACACAGTTACACCTCACACACTATTATCAGGAGACATTCAATAGTGTTCATTAAGAGTGAGACCTCAGTCAAGATGCCTGCAGACGCGCTTTTGAAGGTCACACAGATGTGTTTGGTGCTGCTGGGTAAAATCACCGCTGAAGGAGAAACACACACACACACACACACACACACACACAAACAAACAGCAGAGCGAGTTTACACAAGACCCTGAGTGTGTTTAATTTTTTAGCGGAGAATAACGGTCTACACAGGAGTTAGCAAACTTATGTAGTCATGAAGAGGAATGTGCTGTCTATAATATTGTATGTGTCTATAATATGGCGTCTATATAATATTGATTTATAGAACATGTTGATGGAGATATTCAGTTACAAAAGATTTATATTTCAAGTAGATGGATATATATTCATGAAATAGTGTGTGTGTGCGTGTCCCTGTAGTGTTGTTGACATGAAAGTGTGTGTGTGTACCTGTATAATAATATAAAATTATGCAAATTTGCATAAGTGGTGTGTGTGTGTGTGTCTGTGTGTGTGTGTTTCTTCATGTTAGTGGATGAGTGTGTGTGTGTATGTTATATCATTGCGTCTACAGAAGGACCCTATAAACATGACAATCCATTGTGTGTGTGTGTGTGCATGTGTGTGTGTGCTTGTACCTCCAGTGTTGTTGACGTAGAAGTGTGTGTGTACCTGTATAATAATATAAAATAATGTTAATTTGCATAAGTGTTGTGTGTGTGTTTGCGTGTGTGTTTGTTTCTTTATGTTTGTGAATGTGTGTCATATCATTGCGTCTATGGGAGGACTCTATAAAACATGACATTCCATTGTGTGTGTGTGTATGATTGTACTTTCCGTGTTGTTAATACAGAAGTGTGTGTGTGCTTATAACTCCAGAGTTGATGAAATAGAAGTGTGTGTACCTGTATAATAATATAAAATAATGTTAATTTGCATAAGGGTTGGATGTGTGTGTGTGTGTGTGCTTGTGTGCTTGTTTCTTCATATCACACAGAGTGATTGTGTCTATGGAAGGAACCCATAAACCATGACAATCTATGGTGTGTGTGTGTGCTTGTAGCTACAGTGTTGTTGACATAGAAGTGTGTGTGTACCTAAATAATAATATAAAATAATGTAAATTTGCATAAGTGTTGTGTGTGTGTGTGTGTTTATTTGTTTGTTTCTTCATGTTTGTGGAAGGGTGTGTGTGTATGTGTGTGTGTATGTGTGTGTCATATCATTGTGACTATGGGAGGACCCCATAAAACATGACATTCCATTGTGTGTGTGTGAGATTGTACTTTAAGTTTTGTTAATATAGAAGTGTGTGTGTGTGTGTGTGTGTGTGTGTGTGCTTGTAACTCCAGTGTTTTTGAAATAGAAGTGTGTGTGTGTACCTATATAATAATATAAAATAATGTAAATTTGCATAAGTGTTGTGTGTGTGTGTGTGTGTGTTTGTTTGTTTTTACACGTTTGTTGATGAGTGTGTGTGTTTGTGAATGTGTGTGTGTCATATCATTGCATCTATAGGAGAACCCTATAAAACATGACATTCCATTGTGTGTGTGTTTGTGTGTGTGTGTACCACCAGTGTTATTGAAATAGAAGTGTATGTGTGTGTGTGTACCTGTAGTGTTGTTGAAGTAGAAGTGTTGTGTGTGTGTTGGTGTCAGTTTCTCCCAGCTGTAGTAAATGACGGTGCTTCCTTCATTTTTCAGCTCCAGATCGGCGTTCACACTCTGACCTGTGACTGTTTCAAACATCAGTCTGACTGAGACGCCCTCTTGACCCTGAACAAACACACACACACACACAACATAAGTTGTGTTCTCCGTGTCACCATCAGATGTAAAAGATGTGTAGAAAACATAACCTAGAGCTGAAAGTTGCTTCTCTTTTAAACACATCCCCTCTCAATCCCTCATGATCGTAACACACACATGTATAAACGGTATGAGTGAGTCATGTGCTGATATAAGCCTCACACACACATATAAGCCTCACTCGTCCACCTTCAGCTCTTCTACCTGGTGGGAGGACGAGCTGCCGGTCCAACACAGCGCTTCTCCACACACACTCAGAGCGGGTCGCAGTTCCACGTCCATGATGATGTCATCAAACTGAGCCAGAGGGTCTCTGTGGGAGAGAGCAAACCATCAACATTCAGACTTGTGTGATATTTGGAGAGGCGTCCTCAAAAATGTTAATACTTCAATACATTTCGATACTGGAGCATCTAAGACGATACCGTCCTACTTTTATATCACAGCATCACTAGCCCCGAGTTCCTCATGGGATGTTTTTACCCTCAAGCTCATATGTTTTGCTTTCACATTATACACTGCAAAAATGCATAGATATGGTGTGTACATTTGGTGTGAACCCAGTATTAGTCTTAGCACATTTGAATATTTTAATCTCGCTGTATTGAAAATCGAATATCAGATCGAATGCCGAATGTGGATGTGTTTCGGTATTGAACATTAGCATTTTTAATTTGTATTGTATTGCATCAAAATTAGACGTTCCAGCATCATGACAACACTATTATGGAGGCGTACTGGTTTTCCTTCTGCTCTTCTTCTTCTTTTTCCTGTCTCTCGTCAAGCAGAGGTGATGGTGGAACAGGCAGACCACAGCCCAGCACCTCCAGACCATCAACATCCTGACAAACAAACCACACACGAGCTCTATCAGGCATCTGCTTCTCCAAGACTACATGTTTAGTGTAGTGTAGTGTAGTGTAGTGTAGTGTAATGTGATGTATGGTAGTGTATTGGTCCAATAAGTCTACTTTGACGACTCTACTCAGCTCTGATTGGTCCAATGGTTCTATTGTGATGACTCTCCTCCGCTCTGATGGGTCAGATGGCTCTATTCTTTAAGCTCTACTCTGCTCTAATTGGTCTGATCGCTCTACTCTGATGGCTTTACTCAGCACTGATTGGTCCAATCACTCTACTCTGATGGCTCTGCTCTGATGGCTCTACTCTGACAACTTTACTCTGCTCTGATTGGTCCAATGGCTCTACTTTGATGACTCTGCTCAGCTCTGATGGGTCAGATGGCTCTACTCTGCCCTGATTGGTCCAATGGCTCTACTCTGATGGATCTACTCAGCTCTGATTGGTCTAATGGCTCTACTCTGATGACTCTCCTCATCTCTGATTGGTCAGATGGCTTAATTCTGCTCTGATTGGTGAAATGGTTTTACTTTGATGACTCTACTCATCTCTGATTGGTCAAATGGTTAAATTCTGCTCTGATTGGTCAGATGGCTCTACTCTGATGACTCTACTCTGCCCTGATTGGTCCAGTGGCTCTACTGGGATGGATCTACTCAGCTCTGATCGGTCAGATGGCTCTACTTTGCTTTGATTTGTCCAATGGCTGTACTCTGATGACTCTACTCTGCCCTGATTGGTCCAATGGCTCTATTCTGACGACTCTACTCTGCCCTGATTGGTCCAATGGCTCTACTCTGATGACTCTGCCATGATTGGTCCAATGGCTCTACTCTGATGACTCTACTCTGCCCTGATTGGTCCAATGGCTCTACTCTGATGACTCTATTCTGCCCTGATTGGTCAGATGGCTCTACTCTGATGACTCTACTCTGCCCTAATTGGTCCAATGGCTCTACTCTGATGGATCTACTCAGCTCTAATTGGTCAGATGGCTCTACTCTGATAACTATCCTCAGCTCTGATTGGTCAGATGGCTTTACTCTGATAACTCTCCTCAGCTCTGATTGGTCAGATGGCTTTACTCTGATAACTCTCCTTAGCTCTGATTGGTCAGATGGCTCTACTCTGATAACTCTCCTCAGCTCTGATTGGTCAGATGGCTCTACTCTGATAACTCTCCTCAGCTCTGATTGGTCAGATGGCTCTACTTTGATAACTCTACTTTGCTTTGATTGGTCCAATGGCTCTACTCTGATGCCTCTACTCTGCTCTAATTGGTCCAATGGCTCTACTCTAATGGCTCTACTCTGCTCTGATTGGTCCAGTGGCTCTACTATGATGACTCTACTCTGCTCTGATTGGTCCAATGGCTCTACTCTGATGACTCTACTCAGCTGTTATTGGTCAGATGGCTCTATTCTCCTCTGATTGATTGCATGGCTCTACCCTATTGGTCAGAAGCCTCAGATTGATTTTTTCTTACTGTTTAAAGTGTGTGTTGGAAACTAAACTCCATTACCAGTACTTCTAAACACACACACACACACAAGCATCGACAATGGCCTGAAGTGATTGTGAATCCACAGGTTTAAATTATTCAAAACGTGTTTGCGAGACCTGCGTAGGTTTGTTCAGGAGGTGAAGCTGGAATCATGGATGACTCAGAACAAGCAATTCACAATCTCATCTTTCTGTTGGGAGACGAAAACTGCATCTATCTGCACTCTGACCATTCACAAAAAGCTAAATAACACACACTGCATGAAGGATAATATTTGAGCGAGCATAATAGGGGCACTCACAGACTCCGGCTGAGATGTTTCTTCAGGGAAAAACACCTCTGCTCTTTCATACATTTCCTGAAAAAGATTCATTATAAGAACTCAGAGGTCTCGATGTGAACTCTTGTACTGCGGCAGCCAGTGATTCATTCACTCTGTTTTAGTTTAAGAAACATCTTAAGCAAACTATTCTGGAGATGTCTGAAAAAGCAGAGCTGAGTGGAGCGAGAAGATGAGAAACTCTCCTGCTGAACGCCAGTGTGCTTGTGACTGTCTGAGAGGCTTCATTTGAGACAGCCGATCTGCAGATGAGCTGAGACTGATTCAGAGAAGATGGAAAAGTACAGTGAGTCCAAAGAGAACAAACAGAGAGAACACACACACACACACACAAACATAAACACACACACACACATACACGTACACAGTTTGGCACAGAATCAACTAACCAGCTCAAAGAATCAGAAAGTGTAATATGTAATAATAAAGTTAAAAGAATTTACTTAAAATAAATCAAAAATAAATAATTACATAAATAAATAAATAAAAATATATAAAAATAAATATTAAAATTTATATATATGCCTAATTAATTAAGAACTAATTGACTTAATTTACCCAATTAACATAATAACCTAGTTAAATAACATTTAAATTATACTTTAAGCTGAACACTAGTATCTTGCAATATTAGACAATTATTTTGAACCATCATCATGGCAAAAACAACCAAAAATAGTGTAAAATAGTTCTTAAAATATTATGCAAAAAAAATTCACAGGTCTAATAATTTTGACTCACTAACTAACTACAAGGTGGCATGTGGGTTTCCACCAGGTGCTCCGATTTCCCCACAGTCCAAACACATGCGCTGTAGGAGAATTGATTAACTAAATTGTCTGTACAGGTATGTGTGTGCGCGCGCGAATGAGTGTGTAAGGGTGTTTTCCAGTACTGGGTTGCAGCTGGCAGGGAATGTGCTGCATAAAGCATATGCTGGAAAAATTGGTGGTTCATTCCGCTGTGGGGACCACTGATTGGTAAAGGGACTAAGACGAAAAAGAAAATGAATGACAATAAATGTATGTATCTCTCTCTCTCTCTCTTTATATATAAATATATATATATATATATATATATATATATATATATATATATATATATATATATATATATATATATATATAGGCAAGGCAAGTTTAATTATACGGCATGTTTCATACACAATGGCAACTCAAAGTGTTTTAAATAAACAAGAATAAAACAAACAAGTATAAGAAATTAATTAAAATTAATAACAACATTTATAAAAAAATACATACAAAAACTTCAACTAAAATTTTCTATTTCTTGATTTTTCCTCTTTTTTAAAATTTGTATTTAATATTTTTCTACGACATATACATTTGGGTGTACTAGTTTTTGGACCGTTACCGTAAGTTATTTTGTTAGATAAGCTCCAGATCTGGCTTCAGTACTGACTAATCTAATGTATATGCACTAATATAATATGAATTTAAAAGATAGATTTGTAAGGGGTGTACTTATATATGCTGAGCACAGCATGTTCTTAAACATCAGAATTCAAACTATGAAACGCTAGGTGAAACGCTAGTGTGGAAGCGAATTGTTTTTGATCTAAAACGCCGTTTTAAAACTAAAATGCACTAGTGTAAACGGGGCCTAAATAAGGCAGGTGTAAAAGGACCCTCAGTCTCTATTTCGGTGGTCACCACAGTGGAAGGAACCACCAACAATTCCATTATATGGTTTTCACTGCGGATGCCCTTTCAGCTGCAACCCAGTACTGGGAAACACTCATACACTCTCACATTCACACACACACTCATACACTAAGGCCAATTATCAATCTCCCTATAGCGCATGGACTGTGGGGGAAACCGGAGCACCCAGAGGAAACCCACGTCAAAACAAGGACCTGCTGCCCAGCTGGGACTCGAACCAGTGACCTTCTTGCTGAGGTGAAAGTAAGCCACCATGCCACCCTCTTTAAAACATTACTTGCTTTCGTTTTCCAAACACAGCCAATCAAAATGCAACATTTATTCAGCAGATCACACACACACACACACACACTACTCACATGTGCAAATACTAGTTTCTATAACTGATCACTCACCAATCACTGCTTTAGAACTAGTTTGGCCAATTCTGGGAAATCGTGGTGTAATCTTACTTGCCTCATTAAAACGAGACCAATTTAACCTTAAACACACTGACTTTAAAGAGTCAGCCAGTCTTAATGAAATAAACTGCTTGATAATCAGTTTAAGAGCAGTCTAAGCAGTTTACACAACCGTCCCCATATTTCTGAAACTCCACCATCATTTACATGCAGCACTCTCACCGCAGACCCTCATTGTTTAATAATTGTACATTTAATAAACCGATGAACATGTTCTGTCCCTGTTCCCTCCAAACGATAACAGCCAAGCCTTCAGGGACTACCATGGCATGATGAACAGCCTCATTGCTCTCGTTCTCTCTTTAATAAGGAGCTGAAGAAGCTGATAATGCTGGTAATCAGAGCAGGAGATGCAGGCTTGGTCTCTGCGGGGCTGATGGGAACATGTGTGCTGCTGAATAATAAACACAATCACACACTATCAACGTCTAGAGACCCGCATTACGACCCGCAGGACAGATTAAGGGGTCTCGAAATGAGCGGAAAACAGGACATTAACACCTCCAGGAGACCCTCGGGCTGCATTTATGCCAATCTGCTGCACGTGATGAGCAGATTTTCAGTCTCTCTGCTTGTGTGTCGGGCTGTTATCTCCGGCACGTGCTGTAAATGCACTGTAAGAATAGCTTGAGAGCGCTAATGATCGTCCTTCAGTCTGTCGCTCGCATTTGAGTTTTGCCAGCTCTCGGTTTGTGCAACGAAGGGTTTAAAGCGCATGTGATGTCCACTTCTACACAATGATCTGCGACGGATTTAGCCCGTGTGCAGACGCCATGCACACTTCAGCTCATCATTAGCTCATTGCGGATGTTTGTTATTAGATTGTGCTTTTAAAGTTGGATTTTAAAAACTTTCTTGCTTGTTAAGGCTGATATGATTAAAGCGATATAATATGTTATTAATACGCAACTAATAATGATTTATTAGAAGATAAAGCACACAATAAGAGGTGATTATTTTTAATAAATCAAGATTACAGTTCGTAATTAAACATACAATCAAAAGTAAGAATTTAAAATGCTTTTAAAAGAGCTCGTTAAGGCTTACTTAATGTAAAATTATAGTTCAAAAATACACTCACTGGCCATTTTATTAGGTACACCTGTCCAACTGCTTGTTAACACAAATTTCTCATGCATTTAGGCATGTAGACATGATCAAGAGGATCGGTTCAAAGCGAGCATTAGAATGGGGAGGAAAGGGGATTTAAGTGATTTTGAACGTAGCATGGTTGTTGGTGCCTGACGGGCTGCTCTGAGTATTTCAGAAACTGCTGATCTACTGGGATTTTCATGCACAACCATCTCTAGTGTTTACAGTGAATGGTCTGACAAAGAGGAAATATCCAGCGAGCGGCAGTTCTGTGGGCGCAAATGCCTTGTTGATGAGGCCAGAGGTCAGAGGAGAATGGCCTGACTGGTTCTAGCTGATGGAAAGGCAACAGTAACTCAAATAAGCACTCGCTACAACCGAGCTCTGCAGAAGAGCATCTCTGAACACACAACACGGCCAACCTTGAGGCGGACGGGCTACAGCAGCAGAAGAGCACACCGGGTGCCGCTCCTGTCAGCTAAGAACAGGAAACTGAGGCTACAATTCACACAGACTCACCAAAACTGGACAATAGAAGATTGGAGAAACGTTGCCTGCTCTGATGAGTGTCCATTTCTGCTGACACATTTGGATGCTCGGGTCAGAATTTGGCCTCAACAACATGAAGGCATGGATCCATCCTGCCTTGTATCAGCGTTCAGACTGGTGGTGGTGGTGTAATGGTGTGGGGGAGATTTTCTTTGGGTCCATTAGTACCAATTGAGCATCAACGCCAACACCACAGCCTACCTGAGTATTGTTGCTGACCATGTCCATCCCTTTATGAGCACAGTGTCTCCATCTTCTGATGGCTACTTCCAGCAGGATTTATTGCTCTCTATTTTCATCACCAGCTCCTCAATTGGAGGCCATGGTGCTCCACTGGAAAAAGGTGTTTGCCATCTCCAGGTTGGAGGAAAGTCTTTACCCCAGGTGGAGTAGTTCAAGTATCTCAGGGTTTTGTTCAAGAGTGAGGGAAGGATGGAGCGTGAGATTGACAGGCGGATCGGTGCAGCGGCAGCAGTAATGCGGTCAATGAACCAGTCCGTTGTGGTAAAGAAGGAGCTGAGCCGAAAGGCAAAGCTCTCGATTTATCGGTCAATCTACTTTCCTACTCTCATCTACAGTCATGACCAAAAGGACAAGATCTTGAATACAAGCAGCCGAAATAAGTTTCCTTCATAGAGTGGCAGGGTGCACACTTATAGAAAGGGGGTGAGAAGTTCTGACAGTTCTGAAGTTCTGGGTGGAGCTCAGAGTAGAGCTGCTGCTCCTCCACATTGAGAGAAGTCAGCTGAGGTGGCTCTGTCATCTGTTTCAGATGCCTCCAGAACGCCTGCCTGGGGAGGTGTTCCAGGCATGTCCCACTGTGGGGGGAGGCCTCGGGGAAGACTCAGGACACGCTGGAGGGACTATAGCCCCTTTCACACAGTAATACCGGTAAATATCTGGAAAATTTCCGGAACGACTTTACCGGTATATTCAAAAAAGTGCTGTTCACACAGGCGAGGACGTTACGGAAATTTTCCGGAAAAGAGCATTCACACATCCATTCCAAAATACCGATAAATTCTGACATCATTCACCACAAATGAGCTTTAAACGGCTGCGCTTGTGTTTGTAAACATTTGACTAAATTACAAACTCTGTGGATGATCAATATTGTGAACAACTTTCGCAGGATGTGTGCAGGCGCTCACAGGCTGTTTCACAGGCACACGCAAAGCTTGAAGGTAAACAAACAACGGCTTATCATAAGCATCTCATCGATGATTATTTGCACAGTTGGCATTAAGAAGAACATATAAACGTGATCTGACTAACTTCTAGCAGCTAAATGTGTCTGGAAAAATATTCAAAGGCTTTTATTCTCACAAACCGCGCGGACGTAAATGCGCCTGACTGTTGTGATTGGCTAAAGCAGACGTCTTACGTCAGCACATTCTAGACGTGCACGCGCTTATTACGGGAATCTTCCTTCTGCATTCACACAGCGCAGCATTCCGGCAAATTACCGGTAATGTTACAACTTCTCTTTCCGGAAAATAGCCAGAACGAATTTACCGGTATTTTCAAAAAGGACCTGTTCACACATACAAGGTCTTATGTCTACCAGCTGGTCTGGGAACGCCTGGGGATCCCCCAGGAGGAGATGGAGGAAGTGTCTGGGGAGAGGGAAGTCTGGGGTTCTCTCCTAAGACTACTGCCCCCGTGACCCGGCCCCAGATAAGCGGATGAAAATGACATGATATTTTCATCATCATCACTCTAGTTTTCAGTCTCATGTGATTCTTCAGAAGTCAGTATAATTAACAGATATGACGATCAATAATGATAATAGATATTTTTGTTGGAAACATCAGAATTGTTTGACGAAAAGGAAGAAATTTGAAAGAAAACTTTCATTATAGAAACAGAAATCTAACACTTTCTAGCACGTTTTGTCCTTTAGTGTCACTGTTTGATTAATTGAATGCCGCATTTCTGAATATAAGTGAAGAAAGGAACCAAACCGAGGCCCTGACATGACTGTTTTAACATCCTGAATGGATTTTTATTCATTCTGTTTCACATTCATGCATTTGGCAGATGCTTTTATACCACACAAAGTGTTCAAGGTTAGATTTTCATGAGTTCTCTTGGCATTAGGAGTGTTTTCCTCTGCAGTCTGATCTACAGGAATGCATTTCATCTTTATAAACCTAGAGAAACACCTACATGCACCAAACTTCAAGAGTTCTATTGTGATTAAAGACACAAGACGCAGGTCAGGGTCTGGAGGATGAGACTTTAAAACAACTTTAACTTCAAGTGCTGGGAGTGCTTGTGTGCATGTGCTTGTGTGTATGTGTGTTTGTGTGTGTATTTGTATATGTGGTTGTGTGTATGCATGTTTGGTGTGTGTGCGTATTTGTACATGTACATGTGCTTGTGTGTATGCATGTTTGGTGTGTGTGCGTATTTGTACATGTACATGTGGGTGTGTGTGTGCCGGTTTGGTGTGTGTTTGTACATGTGCATGTGTGTATGCATGTTTGTGTGTGAGCCTGCATCTGCACTTGTGTGTGCGTTTGCATATTTGTGAGTGTGTCTGTGCATGCGTGCATGAGCTTGTGTTTATGCATGTTTGTGTGTGTATGTTTGTACATGTGGTTGTGTGTATGCATGTTTGTGTGTGTGTTTGTACGTGCTTGTGTGTATGCATGCTTGTGTATGTGTGTGCATTTGTGCGTGTGTTTGTGTGCTTGTACATGTGTGCATGTGCATACATGTTTGTGTATGTGTGTGTGTTTGTATATGCGTGTGTATTTGTGTGTTTACATTTGTGTGTGTGTGTGTGTGCTGGTACATGTGTGCATGTGCATACATGTTTGTGTATGTGTGTGTGTTTGTGTGTGAACCTGTATGTGCGCTTGTGTGTGTGTTTGCTTGTTTGAGTGTTTGTTTGTACATGTGGTTGTGTGTATGCATGTTTGTGCATGTGTGTGTATGAGCCTGCATGTGCGCTTGTGTGTGTGTTTGCATGCTTGTGTGTATGTTTGTGTGCTTGTATATGTGTGCGTTTGCTTATTCGTGTTTGGATGTGTGTGTGTGTTTGTACATGTGCTTGTGTGTATGCATGTTTGTGTATGTGTGTGTGTGTTTGCATGTTTGTACATGTGTGCATGTGCTTGTGTGTATGCATGTTTGTGCATGTGTGTGTGTTTGTGTTTGAGCCTGCATGTGCACTTGTGTGTGTGTTTGCATGTTTGTCTGTGTGTTTGTGTGCTTGTGCGTGTTTATGCATGTTTGAGAGAGTGTGTGTGTGTTTGTACATGTGCTTATGTGTATGCATGTTTCTGTATGTTTGCATTTGTGTGTGAGCCTGCATCTGCACTTGTGTGTGTGTGTGTGTTTGCATGTTTGTGTGTTTGTGTGCTTGTATTTGTGTGCGTGTGCTTATTCGTGTTTAAATGTGTGTGTGTGTTCGTACATGTGCTTGTGTGTATGCATGTTTGTGTATGTGTGTGTGTTTGTTTGTGTGTGTGTTTGCATGTTTGTACATGTGTGCATGTGCTTGTGTGTATGCATGTTTATGCATGTGTGTGTGTTTGTGTTTGAGCCTGCATGTGCGCTTGTGTGTGTGTTTGCAAGTTTGTCTGTGTGTTTGTGCGTGTTTATGCATGTTTGAGAGTGTGTGTGTGTGTGTGTTTGTGTGTTTGTACATGTGCTTGTGTGTATGCATGTTTGTGTATGTGTGTGTGTGTTTGTTTGTGTGTGTGTTTGCATGTTTGTACATGTGTGCATGTGCTTGTGTGTATGCATGTTTGTGCATGTGTGTGTGTTTGAGCCTGCATGTGCGCTTGTGTGTGTGTTTGCATGTTTGTCTGTGTGTTTGTACATGTGCTTGTGCGTGTTTATGCATGTTTGAGTGTGTGTGTGTGTGTGTGTGTGTGTGTGTGTGTGTTTGTGTATGTATGTTTCTGTATGCTTGCATTTGTGTGTGAACCTGCATCTGCACTTGTGTGTGTGTGTGTGTGTGTGTGTTTGCATGTTTGTGTGCTCGCATAAGTGTGCATGTGCTTAAGCTTATGCATGGGTGTTTGTGTGTGTGTGTGTTTGTCTGTGTGTTTGTGTGCTTATGCTTGTTTGAGTTTGTGCTTATACATGTGCTTGTGTATGTGTTTACATGTTTGTGTGCTTGTATATGTGTGCATGTGTGTATGTGTATGTGTGTGTGTCTTACAGGTGGACTGAAGTCTCTCAGCATGTCCTTGAGTTCTCTCCGCCGCTGCTGCAGATACAAACTCTGCTGCCAAACACTGTTCACTGCATCACCTTGAACATCACCTGCAGACACACACACACACACACCATCAGCTATAATCACAACAAACACATTACACAAATGACACCTGTGCTCTATGTATGATGTTTAAGTAAGACGAGCGGTGATTGTGTTAAAGAAAGAAGGATAGCAGACAGATGATTCCCTTCGCTTTGACTGAATCACGACGAATGATCTTCTGATTGAGTCTAATATAAAGCAAGAGCTTCCTCCATCTTTGCTTGTCATGATGAACAGACGGTTGCTATGGAGACTGAACATGTGGGATGGATTATAAGCTGCATTATTATAATGTTTACAAAATGCACCGAACAAACTCGTCTGTGAGAAACTGGTCGTTTGCAATCTGTAGTTACAGTTATGCAATCATAAGATCTTGAGAAATGAAGCATGTGGTTCTGTCACATGTGGACTTTGCCGTTAAAGCATACTAAATGTTATATGCAACGTGAAATGAAAGTCAGGAAAACTTTTGATAGTTTACGTATGTGACTTAAGTTGCTCCGGATTCGACACATCAAGCTTTCATGGCTTATAGAGTGAGAACATAGAAGCAATTCAGTGCAGAAACTGATATTTAAATGAACAAACATAACATTATAATATATAGTATGCAGTGTGTAGAGTATTATGCTGTGTGTAGTGAGTGGTATGCATTATGTGTGGTATATAAAGTGTATTATGCAGTATATACATCGTAGTTTATAGTATCTAATGTAGAATGTAGTGAATGTTGTTTTGTGCAGTGTATGGTATGCAGTATGTATTGTGTAGAGTGTAGAATGCAGTGTAGTGTGAACAGCCTAGTATGCAGTGTATGGTATGGAGGGTGTATTGTGTGGAGTGTATAATGTAGTGTGTAGCATGTAGTGTGTAGAATGCAGAGCATAGTATGCAGTATGCATTGTGTAGAGTGTAGAATACAGTGTGGTGTGTACAGCGTAGTATGCAGTGTATGGTATGGAGTGTGTATTGTGTGGAGTGTAGAATGTAGTGTGTAGCATGTATTGTGTAGAATGTAGTGCATAGGATGCAGTATGTATTGTGTAGAGTGTAGAAAACAGTGTGTAGCGTGTAGTATGCAGTGTATAGTATGGCGTGTGTATTGTGTAAAGTGTAGAATGTAGTGTGTAGCATGTAGTGTGTAGAATTTTGTGTGTAGAATGTAGAACATAGTATGCAGTATGTATTGTGTAGAGTGTAGAAAACAGTGTAGTGTATATCGTGTAGTATGCAGTGTATAGTATGGCGTGTGTATTGTGTAGTGTGTAGAATGTTGTGTGTAGAATGTAGTGCATAGGATGCAGTATGTATTGTGTAGAGTGTAGAAAACTGCAGTGTGTAGCGTGTAGTATGCAGTGTATCGTATGGCGTGTGTATTGTGTAGTGTAGAATGTAGTGTGCAGCATGTAGTGTGTAGAATGTTGTGTGTAGAATGTAGAACATAGGATGCAGTATGTATTGTGTGGAGTCTAGAAAACAGTGTAGAGTGTATTGTGTAGTATGCAGTGTATAGTATGGCGTGTGTATTGTGTACAGTGTAGAATGTAGTGTGTAGAATGTTGTGTGTAGAATGTTGTGTGTAGTATGCAGTATGTATTGTGTAGAGTGTATTGTTTAGAGGGTGGTATGTCATGTGACCTGTGTAGTGTAGTATGCAGTGAATTGTAGTTTGCAGTATGTAGAGTGTAGAATGCAGTGTGTAGTGTGCTGTATGTTGTGTAGAGAGTAGAATGCAGTCTGTAGTGAGCCGTGTATTGTGTAGAGTGTAGTATGGAGTGTGTGGTATATAATGTCGTATTTGTAGTATATACATTGTAGTTTATAGTATCTAATGTAGAATGTAGAGCATATTGTGTATTGTGTAGTGAGTAGTATGCTGTGTGTAGACTAGTGTAGTACACATTGTGTAGTATGTAGTGTGTATTATTTAGCCTTGTGTATTGTGTAGTATGCAGTGTGTAGTATGCAGTATGTATTGTGTAGGGTGTTGAATGCAGTGTAGTGTGTAGCATGTAGTATGCCATGTGTACTGTGTAGCGTAGAATGCAGTACTTAGTGTGCAGTGTATTGTGAAGTGTAGTATGCAGGGTGTACTGTGCAGAGTGTAGTATGCAGCATGCAGTATATATTAGAGGGTGGTATGCAGGGTGTACTGTGCAGAGTGTAGTGTGCAGTATGCAGTGTGTAGTGTACCTGTCTCCAGGCGTGTGCTGATTGGCTGAGCGATGCGTGTGAGTTCAGCAGGGTTTCCTCTCTCAGTCTGTGTGAGTGTGGCTGTTATTCCACTCATCTCGTCTCCATAATGCTGCGGGACGCTCCAGAACTCACTGCCCACACGCCGACCCTACACACACACACACCAGCAAACAGCACTCAGCAGTGTGTGAAGAAGAGAAATCCTGCGCTCAGCTTTATATGCTTAAAGAGGTGTTAAAGTCAGAATGAAATCAACATGTTCTCTTCTTATTTGTATATGCATCTAGTATTGCTTGTCATAAATTATGTAACGTTCCCTCCCTCTTTTTTAACGACTTGTCTTCACTTCTCGTCACATGGAATGGCTTTAGGGTGGGGCTATCAGTAATTTAGGGTGGGGTTATCAGGCCTTTAGGGCAGGGCTATCAGTGCTTTAGTATGGGCCTATCAGTAATATAGTATGGCGTTATCAGGGCTTTTGGGCGGTGCTATCATTGCTTTAGGGTGGGGCTATCAGTCATTTAGGGCGAGGTTATAAAGGCTTTAGGGCAGGGCTATCAGTCCATTGGGCAGGGCTATCAGTTTAGGATGGGGTTATTAGGGCTTTAGGGCGGTGCTATCATTGCTTTAGGGTGGGGCTATCGGTAATTTAGGATGGGGTTATCAGGGCTTTAGCGCGGTGCTATCATTGCTTTAGGGTGGGGCTATCAGTCATTTAGGGCAGCGCTATCAGTGCTTTAGTATGAGCCGATCAGTAATACAGTATGGGGTTATCAGGGCTTTAGGGTGGGGCTATCAGTGATTTAGGGTGGGGCTATCAGTGATTTAGGGCGGGGTTATAGGGGCTTTAGGGCAGGGCTATCAGTCCTTTAGGGCAGGGCTATTAGTAATTTAGGATGGGGTTATCAGGGCTTTAGGGCGGTGCAATCATTGCTTTAGGGTGGGGCTATCAGTAATTTAGGTCAGGGTTATAGGGGCTTTAGGGCAGTGCTATCAGTCCATTAGGATGGGGCTAGCAGATGTTTAGGGCAGTGCTATCAGTCCATTAGGGTGGGGCTATGAGTCCTTTAGGGCAGGGCTATCAGTGCTTTAGTATGGGGCTATCAGTAATATAGTATGGCGTTATCAGGGCTTTTGGGTGGGGCTATCAGTGATTTAGGGTGGGGTTATAAAGGCTTTAGGGCAGTGCTATCAGTCCATTAGGATAGGGCTAGCAGATGTTTAGAGCGGGGCTATCAGTGCTTTAGGGTGGGGCTATTTTAGTGCTTTAGGGTAAGGCTATAAGGGCTTTAGGGCGGGGCTATCAGTGCTTTAGGGTGGGGTTATAACGGCTGTAGGGCAGGGTCATTATGAATCAGTTCATTATGGTTTGGCTATCAGTCTTTTAGGGCAGAGTTATCAGTACTTTAGGGTGGGGCTATCAGTCATTTAGGGCAGGGTAATCAATGCTTTAGGGTGGGGCTATCAGTTGTTTAGGGCAGGGTTATCAGTGCTTTAGGGCGGGGCTATCAGTCATTTAGGGCGGAGTTATAACGGCTTTAGGGCAGGTCTATTAGTCCATTAGTGCAGGGTTATCAGTCGTTTAGGGTAGGGTTAGCAGGGCTTATGGGTGGGTTATTTTACCCAGGATTTTGCTGAGTTTATTTTCTGCTGGTTTTGATCTGTTATGAATCCATAAATATGGGATTATGAGCATCAGTAGGTGGCGACAAAAAGCAGGTGTTTTTAAAAATGAATCATTGAATCACCGACATCATTCCATCATTCGACATCATTCTTGAATAAATCACTGTAGTACTCTGAGATCTAAAAATGTTCTGCTTAGTTTGGTTTAAACTTTTTTTCACAGGTGAGACAGAGAAAAACAAATAATATTGTGTCTAGAATGATCAAACTTTTCTAAAATTCCATGTAAATATCCTGATTTTCTATAAAATTCATAAACTGATCAATCATAAAGTGCTCTCTAGTATCTGACATGCCCCGTCTCCTCTTCATTTGCTTTTCATTTAATGCACGCACCTGAGCTTAACCGCTCTCACTGGCAGAGCTGTGATAAAAACAACACCCTGTTGGATGGTTTTCATAGAGGAGGGACAACTATGTCTCACCCTGTCTTCATGTTTCAGTAGAAATTATGTAATACATCGAACAATACTGCACATTTCAAAGCCCTTCACAGGATCTTCAACACATATTTCTGAGATTCAGACACAGTGTACAGTGACTGCAGGACTGACATGCTCAGTGTAAACAGCAGCCAGTCCTCGATCAATCAGAGTCCTCTGCTCCTGAACACTTCTGAATCTGCTGGAGCGGTTCATTAATAAAGAGCCCGCCGGCTTCTGCAGGAACCCTGAAACACACACACAAACACACACCTATTACAGCACATCATCCAGTTACAAAACACACAGTCTGAAGAGGTGTGTTTTATGTAATGATAATAGGCCAAACACACACACAGATAAAGGCTGGCTATAGGAAATGGCCTTTAATGCTGTCTGGAGTGGGCTGAAGCCTTTACTGACTCATTTTAGCACAGATTCTCCATATATGGAGCCTGAATGAAGACCCTACAGCTTTATTCTGATGTTAGGATGAACATCTGACTCTAAATGCAGCAGTTTATACGTTAGGGATGAACACTAAATGCGAAAATTGAATTCCTTTTCAAATAGATTGTTCAACACGTTTATAATAAAGCTGTCAAAATATTAATCACATCCTAAATAAAATCTTGTATTTATATATGTGCAATATTTGTACAGTGAGTAAACACAGACATCATTTTAGATGTAATTCATTACCATTACTCTTTCTTTCTTGATTTTTATTCCAGTCAAACTCAAAGAAATATATAAATATATGAAGACAAATATGATAGGAAATTCTGTGAGAATGTGAAACAATGAAATAAATAAAATGAAGTCTTGAAAAAAGCCTTTTCCTGCAAATTGACAATAAAAATATTATATTTGTGGTAAAAATATTTGTAGTATTAAGATATATATATATATATATATATATATATATATATATACTGTATATCAGAGGTCGCATTAACCGAATATTTTCCGTCATTGACAGATTTTTTTCTGCAGTGACAGAAAAATCTGAATGTAATCCGTCATTTTGACCAGGCACGTGCACACATAGGGCTCAACCTGTGCAGTGCACATGCCCTTTATAGTCTTGGATAGAAAGTGCCCTTCCAAAATGATCAAAAGTGCCCCCGCGACGCGGCACACCCTCGGTCCCACCCTTCAGTAGGCGCAACAACAACGCTCTTGAGTATGCGCGCGACAACACAGCTGATCAGAACGTGCGCGACAACACCGCTCTTCAGTACGCGCACAACAAGCCCCCCCTCTATTGTAATTTGTAGCTAACTGTAATTCCCAGTCCTGTCCAGCAGATGGCGATTGCCCTTGTTTTGTCTTCTCTTTGTCACCGCTGCATATAGTTGCAAAAATCTCACAGCAGCTGAGTGTGAGAAGTGTCTTTAAACGGCCAAATAGTTGTGATATTAATAATAAAGTTGAAAAAAGAAGTTATGTAGTGGACAATAAAGAACAAACAGACAAAAATCCTCAGTCACCGACAGCTGTTGTTGCGGCCAACCAAGCGGCAACAAGGAGGTCAGGTGGTTTGAAGTGCGTTGTGAGCACCATGCACTAGAATCCAAATGATTTAGTTTAATTCTTTCTCAACAGTTAATGAGAGAAAACGTTTCCCTGTAACGAGTTTTACGGCAATCCGTGTTTTAGGTGTATTACGGTAGGGGAAGCCCTAACATGTTTGTGATGTACATGTAAGATGCACCGGGGTGAGAAATCTGAGAAGGAGAGAAAAAGTAAGTTTGTGCATAAAAGTAACAAACTTTTTAGATCTGTTCTAGATCTTATCTGGACGAGAGACCAAAATAAAGAAGCTTTATTTGTATGATTTGTGTCATTGTCATTGTGTCAGATTGCACACCTAATAGTAGGTTACCTAATATTGTAAACAAGATATAAATATATTTTTATATATATGTATATATATATATATATATATATATATGTATATATATATATATATATATATATATATATATATATATATATATATATATACACACTTTTTTTTTTTTTATAACAAAATTTCCTGCAAATTTCTGGGATTTACCATCACTAAATTTTAAAAGTCATTTTAAATACTTGGGGGTCTGAGTAATGTGATATTGTCAAGCCAACCGAATCATTGATTATATAATAAAAATAAATAGTGGAAAATGTTATCAAACACAATCTTTAGAATGTAGTGTGCAGAAATATTTAAAAGCATAATATATATGAATATTTAATTTGAATATAATTTCAGATAAACCAACAAAATCTGCAATAAACACAAAACGACTGTACGTGTAGATGCTTTTTGTTTTTCGCATTTTGCTCATTACAATAAAGCATTAAGCATGAACCTGATGAATTCTGACAGAACGCAGGATTCAGTTTTGATGTAATATAATTAAATTTACTAAACGCTTAAATTAAACACTATAAGGTATCAGTATCTTTCATGAATACGTAAATTTTGTTGGCTGGAAGGGCATCCACTGCATAAAACATGTGCTGGAATAGTTGGCGGTTCAATCCACTGTGGCGACCTATGATTAATAAAGGGACTAAGCTGAAAAGAAAATGAATAAATGACTTCACTTTTCTACTAAAGTCCTGGGAAATATAAGAGTTTTACTGACGTGCAATGAAGTCCTGCTGTCGGCGCCTGTCAGTCATGTGACGGAACCAGTGCTGGAGGGCGTGGCTCTGTCTTCCTGAATAATAATGAGCTTCAGGTTGATGACTGTCATTGTGAGTGTCAGCCACTAGAGGAGGCTGTTTCTCGCAGTCAGGAATGCGCTGAACTAGCTGAAGATCAGAAACACTAATTAATATAGTTTATCTATCACATTCATATGTGTGCTGAACAGACGTCTTGTTATTATCACTGAGTTTAAATGTCGCTGAGTCTCACCTCCGTCTCTCCCCGCAGCTGCATCTCTGACCTGAAATCCTCCAGGTTTCCCAGAATGCTGTGTGGCAGCAACATACCCTGTGCGTCAAACCGGGGCCCGCCGGGACCTTCATATACACACACACACACACAGTAGAGAAATGACTAAATGTGTTCAGAATTGCATCAAATTTACATGGGCTGAGTTTGATCGTAGTTCCTGACCCGAGGCCACGCCCACTACCTGTATATTCAAGAGTCTGTGGCGGAGCAATGTCATGTGGGAGGGGCCTTGCTACTGTGACCCTGACATTTCTGCTGACATCATCAGGTGGGCGTGTCTTACGAACGAGCACACGTGTCATGGCTCTGGGCTTTTGGGAATCTGGAGGTGGTTTAGGAACTCGCAGCTACACAGAAACACAACAAGACATTATATTATATTATATTATACTATATTACATTATATTATATTATATTATATTATATTATATTATATTATATTATATTATATTATATTATATTATATTAAATTATATTAAATTATATTAAATTATATTATATTATATTAGGGTGTCACGGTGGCACAGTGGGTAGCATGATCGCCTCACAGCAAGAAAAATCACTGGTTCGAGCCTCGGCTGGGTCAGTTGGCATTTCTGTGTGGAGTTTTCATGTTCTGCAACATATGCTGGATAAGTTGGTGGTTCATTCCACGGTGGCTATACCAGATTTAATAAAGGGACTAAGCTGAAAAGTGAATGAACGAATAAATGAATGATCAGATATTAGACAAAATTGATAATGTTTAAGAAATTAATTTGCTCATATATTATGAAAAGCAGGTTATACAATTTAACATGTGTGCAGTGCAATACATTATTATTATAGTATAGTATAGTGAAGTATTTAATATATTATATTATATTGAAATATTGTATAAAAAATAACTAAAAAAATGTATGTACAAAATCTAAAAACAACCTAGCAATAAAAATATGACTATTATTACATATAAAAATATATTGCAAATTCAAAAGTGTCATTTAAAAAATACAAAAATAGTGTATAAATTTACATGAATATATAAAATTTAATTTATTACAGAAATATTGTATTTAAAAAATGACAAATTAAAAAATGTAACCAAAAATATATATAAAATGTTATAATTTTAATACTGCTCATTGAATTTTTTTACAAAATATAACAATTATTATATTCTATTATATTAAATGCAACATAACAATGAATTCACATTAGCACAATATAACAATTATACTATTAAATTATAGAATTATCGTATATAACACATTTAGAAAAACAAAGAAAAAAAACATAAAAGCATATGAAATTAACAGAACAATATATAAGCAAATTATATTTTAACAGTATACAATTATAATGCATCTGTTTGTAGATATTGCAAATAAGTTTGTAAATGAAGAAATTTAATATAAAATAACAACAAATATTCTATTCAATTATATGAAAAGTAACAATATAAAACAATAAGTGTTTTGATATATATAAGATGAAAAAACAGGGTATACAGCAAATAGTTTACTGTAATACCTATATTCAATTATATATTTATGATATTTGAATTCATTATTATATTATATCATATTACATTACATTACATTACATTACATTACATTATATTATATTATATTATATTATATTATATTATATTATATTATATTATATTATATTATATTGCATTATATTATTCATTAATTTTCTTTTCGGCTTAGTCCCTTTATTAATCAGGGGTTGCCACAGTAGAATGAACCACCAACTTATCCAGCATGTGTTTTTCCAGCTGCAACCCAACACTGGGAAACACCCATAAACTCTCATTCACACACAAACACACTACGGCCAATTAAGTTATTTAATTCACCTATGGTGCATGTGTTTGGACTGTTGGGGAAACCGGAGCACCCGGAGGAAACCCACGCCAACACGGGGAGAACATGCAAACTCCCACACAAAAACAAAAACTGACCCAGCCGAGGCTCGAACCAGCGACCTTCTTGCTGTGAGACAACAGTGCTAACCACTGAGCCACCATGATGCTATATTATATTATATTTTATTATATTATATTATATTATATTATATTATATTATATTATATTATATTATATTATATTATATTATATCCTCACCTTCTGCAGGTGTTGTGCAGTGATGGCCAGACTCTGGATATCGTGTGTGTTCAGAGCAGAACTGTGATCTTCTTCACCCACACATGATGATGAAGATAATGAGGAAGGTGATGAGGGTGAAAACTGCTTCTTTTCTGACACACAGAGAACGGGAGGATGAAGACACTCATCGCACATACACACACACACACACACACACACACACACACACAGCTCAATACATACAATATACATATACAACACATACTACCTGTACTCAAGCCACCGTGGTTAATTCATTCTTCATTCATTCAATTTCCTTCAGCTTAGCCCCTTATATATCAGGGGTCACCACAGCGGAACGAACCACCAAATATTCTGTCATGTTTTATACAGCGAATGCCACTCCAGCTGCAACCCAGTTCTGGGAAACACCCATACACACATTCACTACAGCTAATTTAGTTCATCAATTCCCCTATAGCTCATGTGTTTGGACTGTGGGGGAAACCGGAGTACCTGTAGGAAACAGGCCACGCCAACACTGGGAGAACCAGCAACCTACAGTACTGTGAGGCGACAGTGCTAAGCACTGAGACACCGTGTCGCCCTTTCTTGCTAAATATCTAGTCATGTACAGTTATCATGGCAAAGATAAAAGAAATCAGTTATTAGAAATGAGTTATTAAATGTTTAGAAAAATCATCTCTCCATTAAGCAACCCTTGGGAAATATCTGTAAAACAATTGACTTTCCTCATTGTAAAGATTCCCAGTAAGCTTAATGACTATTACAACAATATGTCATTTCTCTGCACAATGCGTGTTATTATCCAGAGAAAGCAAAACATCGGTCCACAAAAGAGCAGGAAACACAAGCAGAGCTTTAAAGGTCAGTAAATGAGGAGACAAAGAGTGTGACGTGCAGTGATGATGATGGAGAATGAATGATATCTGAACTATCATCAAATAAGAGCTCTGGAAAAACAGCTGCAGGGCGAGTGGAAACAGACAGCAGTGCTACTGTACATTACTGTAGTGCCGGGAAAACAAGCTGGGAAAATACATTCAGATAGGAAAACGGGCGTAAAATTGGCTACATTTAAGTTAAAAAACAATAATTATACAGTTATAATAAACAATAATAATACAGTTAAAAAATAATAATAAACTACATTTTAAAAATTAAATAAAATAAAAAATAGACAACATAAAAAATTAAATAAAATAGTTAAAAATAGACTCCATTAAAAATGATTAAGTTAAATAAAAAATAGACTACATTTAACAAAAAAATTAAAGTAAAATAGTTAAAAATAGACTACATTTAAAAATAAAATTAAATAAAATTAAAAATAGACTACATTTAAAACTAAATTTAATAAAATTAAAAATAGTCTACATGTAAAAAGTTAGATTACATAAATAAATTCATTAAATTAAATTAAAAATAAACTACATTAAAAAAATTAAATTAAATATAGACCACATTAAAAATGTAAATAAATTAAATTGAATATAGACTACATTTAAAAAATTTATTAAAACAAAATGAAAAATAGACTCCATTAAAAAATGTATTAAATTAACAGTAGACTTCATTTAAAAAATAAAATAAAAAGTAAGATTACATTAAACAATGTATTAAATTAAAAATAAACTACATTAAAAAGCAAAATAAAAAGTAAGATTACATTTAACAATGTATGAAATTAAAAATAAACTACATTAAAAAATAAAATAAATTAAAAATTAAAAGTAAGACTCCATTAAAATGTATTACATTAAATTAAAAATAGACGACATTAAAATAATTAATTAAATTAAAAAGACTACATTCTAGAAAGATTAAATAATTATAATTTAATATAATATAATATTAATTATATTTATATCAATTATATATAATATAATATAATATAATATAATATAATATAATATAATATAATATAATATAATATAATATAATATAATATAATATAACATAATAATATAATATATTGTGGACTATACATGAAACAAATAGAAGGCAAAAAATATATACTTATTTATACAATAAAAAATAATAAAATATTATTAAAATAAATATCCAAGCCAAAAACAGATATGTGTATAATAAAAAGAGGAGGACAGCCCACACAGATCATGCAGAATACTAATGATTCACTATAAAGCTGCACACTGACTCCAGCTGACCCAATGTACTCTATCACACACACACACGTGCACGCGCAAACACACACACACACGCACAAACACACAGTTATATAAGGCTGTGCATCCTCAGAGCTGTGGAGAAACGCTGCTGTTAACAAGGTAAAAACACACAATAACTTCTCTCCCATAGAAACAGGTTTCCCAGCGTCCTCTGCTCCTGAGTCAGAACATCCTGTGTTTCTGACACTGATCTCAGATTCACACACACACACACACACACACACACACACACACACACACACACACACACACACACACACACACACACACACACACTGTGCACACACACACACACTGTGCACAGGAGAGCACCATGGGCCGTTTGTGGAGCTGAGAAAGTGAAGCTGACCGGAGAAACACTCATATTGTGTTAGATTCACACTTACACTCACACACACACACACATAAACACACACTCATTCAAATACTTACACACACATAAACACATACAGATGCACACACACACACACAGATAAAAACACACAAGCTCACATAAAAACACAGACACACACAAACACACACTCACATACAAACACTCACATAAACAAACTCACATAAACACACACACACACACACACAACTCTTGAGTTTTTTCAGAAATGTCATTCATTCATTTTCATTCGTCTTAGTCCCATTATTAATCAGGGGTCACCACAGCGGAATGAACCGGCAACTTGTCCAACATATGTTTTATACAGCAGATGCCCTTCCAGCCGCAGCCAAGTACTGGGAAACACCCATACACACTCATTTGCACACATACACTTCGGTCAATGTAGCTCATCAATTCCCTTAGAGCGCATGGGTTTGGACTGTGGGGGAAACCAGAGCACCTGGAGGAAACCCACGCCAACAAGGGGAGAACATGCAAACTCCACACAGAAACACCAACTGACCCAGCCGGGACTCGAACCAGCGACCTTCTTGCTATGAGGCGACAGTGCTGACCACTGATAAAGCTACTTTTGACTATGCTAGTGCAGTGGTTATTCTGCACGATCATCTACAAATCAGATGAACAGATGAGACTGTTCCAGGGCCATCTGTACATATAAATTCAACATGTTTACAGAGAGTGCTGCTGTTGCTGATAAAGATAGATCTACATCTGGATCCACACTCATGCTCCTGCAACACTTGACTCAAGACACTGTCAGAGAAAACACTGCGAGACTAAACCTTTAATATTATAAATATAACACATACAGCAGCTCTGCTGTGTCATCATCATGCTATTTTGGGGTCCTGCATGACTATTATATATCCATTAGTCTGGTGATTTGACTAAGACTTTTTTGTATTGTAATTAGTCCATTCACATGACTACAATAATAAAAATGAACTGCACAGGATGTGTGTGAGTTATAATGCATTTTGTGTTTGATTAAACTTGTGTGTGTGTGTGTGGGTTCTGGAATAGAAATGTGTGAAAATCCCTACAATAAATTATCAAAAACAAATCAGATCGACAAAAAGCTTTATGCCTTTCTGATCTGAGGGATGGTTTGTCAACATTGAAATAACTTTAGATCATAAGTAATCATTTGGGTCTATGATTTAGCAGAATTAATTATTATTCTCTTACTTGGATTTGTATCTTGTTTCTAGTCTGAATATCTAAAAACTCTTAAATCAAGATGCATTTTTTAGACAAGCAAAAAATATTGTCTTGTTTTCAGAAATAATATACCAAAACTAAGTGGTTTCCTTGATCACGCAAAATAATCTGTCAAAAAACGAAAAACAAAAGTATTTGGCTTACGTTTCCCTGTTGTCAGATTATTTAGCTTGTTTTAAGGAAAAACTCACTTAATTCTGACTCATTATTTCGTGATACAAAAAAAAATGTTTTTCTTGTCTAGAAAATGCTTGAATTAGGAATTCTGAGATATAAGGATTAGAAACAAGACAAAAAGCAAGTAAAGCAGTATATATGTTAGAAAGATCATATATATACACCGCCAAAAAAAATGCTTCTTACTCAATTTTTTTTTTGTCTTAATTCTAATTCAAATATCTAAAAATGCATAAATGACAAAGCATTTTATAGACAAGCAAAAATAACTGTCTTGTTTTTAAAAGTAATATATCAAAATTAAGGAGTTTCTCCTTAAAATTAGCAAATAATGTTATGTCAAAACGAAAAACAAGATGATTTTGTCAACGTTACCCTGATTATTTTGCTTGTTTTAAGGAAAAACTCACTTCATTTTGACTCATCTTTCTTAAAACAAGACCGTATGTTTTGCTTGTCTAGAAAATGTTTCTTGGACTAAGCATGTTGAGATATTTGGACTATAAACAAGACAAATATTTAAGTAAGTAAATCGTTATTGTGCAGTATAGACATCTGTTTACAGGCTTACCTGATGGACTTCGAGGCTTCGTTTCTCTTTTAGAAACTTTGCTGGTTGATTTTCCGACAGTCGACATATCTACACACAGAATAAGGCGAGAAGTTTAATAAAAAATGAGTTTAATTCTCTTTTGAAACGACTGTGAATTGTAAATCATAAAAGAAAGTTCACTCACTGAAAACCTGCTGCTCCTCTGTTTACAGCTGTCGCTCGCTTCAGTCGCGTTGTCTTAGCAACGGCTGCGCGCGCGCAGTGTCCAGGTACCGCGAAAACAAGTCACTGAGGTAAGTTTAAAAGTCCTGTTTTATGACATTTCCCTGATGTAGAATTCCTATAGCCACAGCAGAGGAAATAAGATCCGTAAAATAGCATAGAAAAAGCAGCGTTTGCCTAATTTTGTGTACATTTATGGGTTAATAGCTTAATATATTTTCAAATCAAATACACCAAAACGCATTACACACGTTTTATAATGGATTTGTTAATATATATATATATATATTTTTGTTTTACTTTGTTAGCTATCTTATAGTTTAAAACGTCATATTCAAAAGCTGAAAGTGATGTTTAACTGGAAGCCATTTAGGTCATGACAAGAAAACTTAAGACAATATTAAGTGTTTTATTAATTATTATTAAACATTGTACCTTTAAAATAAACATTAAACAATATTAATATATTTAATAGTATATTATTTACCTATATTATATTACAGGCTACTTAGGCTTAAATAACTAATGACTTATTAACAACAGAACACTTAAAATATGTCCTTAAAAATCCTGATATTCAACTCATCTTTTTACTGTATTTTTAGATTCCTGATTATTCTAATGTGCCAATATATACATTTTTTTACTTGTATTTTATTGCATGTTTGAGTTCTCTGTTGTTGTAGCAGTTTGGGTTTTAGAAAAGCGCATTATAAATAAAACTATTATTATTATTATTATGCATTTTCGAAGTATATTGCAGATATTAATAAGATAACTTTACATAAAAATACTATTAAAAATGTAAAAATACTTTATATATATATATATATATATATATATATATATATATATATATATATATATATTTTTTTTTTTTTTTTTTTAAATACTCACGTATATTTGCATTATGAAATGATTTATTATCCAACACTGGTTTTCCTCTTCCTCTTTATCCATGTTAATTTATTAATGGCCTAATTAAACCTTTAAAACATTGCCGTGCTCATTATGAGAACTGCCCTATATCACCGTGCACTGCTCCGGGAAACGTTTTGTTCCTTGCGGGTACACGCGTAGCTGTCAATCAAACTGATGACGTGGACGCGCATATAAAAGCAGGAGCTCGCGGGAGCTCACTGAAGTCCATGTCCAGAGCGCACAGAAGCAGGTGGATGTATCCAATGAACATAAAACAGATCTGTCTGTCTTCAATGTGTCCAGTGATGGACCAAGTCATGCAGCACCAGACGCGCGCTCTGCCCGGCGGCACCAGCACACCTAGCGTCCTGCTCGCGTACAAAAACGCGACGCAAAGACTCGGCGCGAGCGGGTTCAAAGTCAGCGCGCTCTCCAAAGCAGGAATGGGCATCCTGAAGCTGGCCACGACGCAGCTAAAACAGCAGGAGAAGAAGGCGAGGGTGGTGCGCGCGTCCAGTCAGGGAAAAGCGCATCCACCTATTGACAAAAAGTCTCCTTTGGATCAACTGGCTGCACTGGTTTTGCACGGCCACGCGCGTCTACAGCCCATCGCGCACGAGTCGCACGCCACCAAACCGCAGAACTGCAGGCGCATAGTGGTGCTCGGCGCGCCGCGCGTTGGGAAGACCTCCATCCTGCGCCGGTTCCTGCGAGATGGCTTTGAGGAGCAATACGAGCCCACATGCGAAGATTTCCACAGAAAACTCTACCAAATACGAGGAGAAACATACCAGATAGACATACTGGACGCGTCCGGGGAGAGGAGCTTCCCCGCCAAGAGGAGACTCTCCATTCTCACTGGTGCGTAAAAGTTTAATAACGCAACATTGCGGTTGTTTTGGAGTCCTTGGTGGCACCTTGGCTTTTTGTATGACTGTATTGGGTTCAATCATACTGATAAAGTGCCTATGAAATTATTTTGGTTTTTAAAACACTTTATAAATGCTGCGTTGTTTAAATAATGTTGGGTCAAAATATTGACAACCCCAATGTTGAGGGTATTTGTCATTTACATTTAAATTACACTTTTGAGTTCGTATTTTAGAGCATAATTTACCCAATGTTGGGTTAAAATTACCCAGCATTTTGGTGATTGGACGCACTTGCGTAAAATGAAACATCATTAAAACCGCAGGCAATAATCATATGATCAATCAACAAATGTTGGGTTGTTTTAACTCAATGTTGGATCAAAAATACGAACTAAAAGTGTTATTTAAATGTAAATAAAAAATACCCTCAATTGGAAAAACCCACAAGAAAAAACGTTGGGCTTGTCCATATTTGACCCATATGGGTTAAAACCCATTTTAAAGTGATGGAATGACTATGCTTTTCAATAAAAACATTTAAAATTAATTAAAATACTCTAAAATTCTCTCTAAAAATGGTCGTCCTAACCCAAAGTTGGATTTTCCACTGACCCAACGTTGGTATAACTTAGCATTTCTTTTCAGTGTACCCCTTAGACCAAAAGAACACGTGCACTGTTTCCAATAATTTACTTCAAAGCTGTGTCAAACTACTAAAGTTTATATATACTTTAAACGCTTCTTTGTATTTCCAAAATGCACTAAAAAGGCATGTTCTGATCCTCTCTCCTCCGTGTTTCAGGTGATATATTCCTGCTCGTCTTCAGTCTGGATGACCGCAGCTCGTTTGAGGAGGTTCGCGCTCTGCACACCGAGATTGTGGCTGCCAAAGCGGCTCTGCGTCGCTCAAAGCAGCCGCTCTGCGTGCCCACGGTGGTGTGCGCTAATAAAGTAGACTTGCCGGCGGAGCAGCGCGCGGTGTCGCGGCCTGAGGTGCTGAGTGCGCTGGGCAGCTCCTGCGCGCTGTTCGAGACCTCCGCGAAGGACAGCGTCAATCTGGAGCAGGTGTTCGAGGCGCTGGCGCAGCGCGGTGGGCTCCCGCTGGAGACCGGGCCCTCACAGCACCGGAAAGTGTCCATCCGCTCTTACCAGGCGCTCCGAGCAGCGCGGCAGGCCGAGAAAGGAAGCAAAGCGCCGGCGTGTGAAGCTCCATGCGGGGCGCTGTATCCGCTGGCGCGACGGCCGAGCTTCGGCACAGACCTGCGGTTGGTTCTTGGACCCAAAGGCAACAGAAAACAGAGCAAAGCGCTGGACAAATGCCAGATCCAGTGAAACTTTACAGACTCAAAGAAACTGAAAACAAAATACAGATATTTATGTTTGCCAGAAAGCAACAAAAAACAACTTTATTCATCATTTGAGCATGGATCAGAGTGTTTATATACTGAAAATGCAGATATAACACCTTTAATGCTAAAAAAAAAAAACTTGGGTTAAATATGGACAAATTCAAAATTGTTTTGTACTTCTATTATATTTATTTACACTTCTTTAACAGTGGTTGAGTTTGTCCATACAAGGCCAAATGTTGGGTCGGGGTTGGGGTTACCACCACCTTTTTTAGAGTAAATGTTATATTATAGAGTAGAATTTTCAATTTCAGCCCTGGCCTTAAATGCATGACGTTGCCTTTGATCATTAAAAAAAATTCTGGGTCAAATATGGACACCCAAAAGTTGGGTTCAATTTTATTCAGTTAAATTGATTGATTGATTCATTTTCTTTTCAGCTCAGTCCCTTTATAAATCTGGGGTTCCACAGTGGAATGAACTGCCAACTTTTCCAGCATATGTTTTACGCAGCAAATGCATTTCCAGCTGCAACCCATCACTGGGAAACACCCATACACACTCGTCCACACTCATACACTACTGACAATTTAGCTTACCCAATTCACCTATCCAACACAATCTCACGGCAATTCGTAACTTTTTCATTTAGTGGCTAATTCGTATGAATTCGTACGATCTAATTTGTACAATTTAGTACGATTTGCTCATCCCCCAATGACAGTTGGGTTTAGGGGTGGGGTTAGGTGCCACGCCTCCTTTTTAAAATCGTACAATTTCGTACACTTAACTCGTACGAATTAGCTACTAAACTGACAAAACGTAAAACACTTGTGAGATCAGGCTGATATACAACATGTTTGGACTTGTGGGGGAAACCGGAGCACCCGGAGGAAACCCACGCGAACGCAGGGAGAACATGCAAACTCCACACAGAAATGTCAACTGACCCAACTAAGGCTCGAACCAGCGACCTTCTTGCTATGAGGCGACAGCACCGCACCACCGTGCCGCCTCAGTTAAAATTTAAATGAGTATTTTTAAATGGCACTTCTACACCCAATGATTGGATTTGTCCACATGTGACCAAACGTTCGGGTAAAACAACCCAAGCATTTTTAGAGTATATATAGAATTATAGATTTTAATCCTGGCCTTACAAATGCGTAATGCTGCCTTTGCTAACTCCAAAACAATGCTGGGTCAAATATGGACAAACTCAATCAGTTTAATACCAAAAAACTTTGGGTTTGTTTATATTTGACCCAACATTAAGTTAAGACAACCCAGCATTTTATTTAGAGTGCTGATGCTGCAAAGCCATCCAAATGTTTACCGCAGTACTGTATGTTCAACCTTTAAATGAATGTATTTACTGTGTTCTGAGAGAATTCAGCCGATCTTAATGTTGTCTGATTATGAAGACCTCCGCCATGTTGAATGACTTGAATGAACACAATATACTGTGATTATGTTCAGGGTTTGACCATCTGAGCTGACTCAGGCCGCTGCATCACTCATGGCAGTGTTGTGTGGACTCTCTGCTGAATATCCTCTGAGCATGACTGACTGAGACGCTCGCTGGTGCATGATGTTGTGTAATATGTGACATTTGAAATAAAAGATTTTGATATGAACACCTCGTCATGAGTGCAGTGATTTGGGGAAGCTGCGCTGACAGAAGTGTGTCACGATTCACCGAGTGTAAATGAATAAATGAGTGTGTGTGTGTGGGCGTTCAGATGAAATGAGAAAGCCTTGACTCTGATTGCATAAGAGCCTTTAGAGAGAGAGACACTGCAGTGTACAGGATGTGCCGAGAGAAAGAGCAGGAAATCAACGACTGCACACACACATTCAATAAACAACCTGTCTGACTGTCTGTCTGTCTATCTATCTATCTATCTATCTATCTATCTATCTATCTATCTATCTATCTATCTATCTATCTATCTATCTATCTATCTATCTATCTATCTATCTATCTATCTATCTATCTATCTATCTATCTGTCTATCTGTCTTTCTGTCTGTCCGTCCATCCGTCCGTCCATCCGTCTGTCTGTTTCTCTCTCTATCCATCCATCAGTCTGTTTCTCTCGCTATCCATCCATCTGTTTCTTTCTATCCATCCTTCTATAAATCCATCATCATCCCATTTATTTATCCATCTGTTTCCGTTGCTATCTGTCCATTCATCCATCTGTTTCTCCATCCATCCATCATCCATCCATATCTGTTTCTCTCTCTATCCATCCATTCATCTATTTCTTTCTCTATCCATCCATCCATCCATCCATCCATCCATCCATCCATCCATCCATCCATCCATCCATCTGTTTCTCTCTATCTACCCATTCACCCATCCATTCATCCTTCTCTATTTCTTTATTTGTCCATCCTTCCATTTCTCTCTCTATCCACCCATGTATCCATCTTTTTCTGTTTCTATCTGTCCATCCATCCATCTGTTTCTCTCTCTATCCATCCATCATCCATCCATCCAACTCCCTGTTTCTCTTTCTATCTATCCATCCATCCATCTGTTTCTCTTTCTATTCATCCATCTATCCATCCATCCATCCCATCCGTACATCCATCTTTCTATCCATCTATCTGCCCGTCCATCTGTTTTTTTGCTATCCATCCATCCATCCATCCATCCATCCATCCATCCATCCATCCATCCATCTATCCGTCAGTCCATCTGTTTCTTTCTCGCTATCAATCCATTAACCCATCCATCCATCCATCCACTCATTCATCCATCTCTCTCTATACACCCACTCATTCATCCATCTGTTTCTGTTTCTATCTGTCCATCCATCCATCTGTTTCTCTCTCTATCCACCCACCCCTCTTTTCCTCTTACTTTCCATTCATCTGTACATCCATCTGTTTGTCTTTCTATCTATCTGCCCATCCATCTCTTTCTTTCTCTATCCATCCATCCATCTGTCAGTCCATCTGTTTCTTTCTCTTTTCCTATTAATCCATTCACATATCCATCCATTTGTCTGTTTCTCTATCTATCCATCAGTCTGTTTCTCTCGCCATCCATCCATCCATCCATCCATCCATCCATCCATCCATCCATCCATCCATCCATCCATTTTATATCTATCCATCCATCCATTCATCCATACAGTCATCTGTTTCTTTCTCTATCCATCCATCCATCCATCCATCCCTTTCTCTATCCATCCATCCATTCATCTGTTTCTTTCTCTATCCATCCATCCATCCATTTCATTCTCTATCCATCCATTCCTTCATCCATCCATTCATCTGTTTCTTTCTCTATCCATCCATTTCTCTCTCTCTCTCTCTCTCTCTCTCTCTCTCTCTATTCATCCATTTGTCTCTTACTATCTACTGGTCTATCTCCCTCTATCAATCTCTCAATTTTTTTATCTATCCATCCATCTGTTCGTTCATCCGTCTGTCTGACCATTTCTCTTTCTCACTCTCCCTCTATTAATCCATCCATCTGTCCATGTCTGTCTGTCTGTCTGTCTATCTGTATCCATCCATCCATCCATCGCTGAAGCTGTGTGTGAGTGTGTGTTTTGGTCAGTCTGTGCAGGGTTAATGTGTGTGATATTTGTTTTGCGCTGCCTGACATTTATGTGGCTGAACCGAGAGGCTGTTATTCGTCCTCCAGAGTGTAGATTCATGATTACACCTATTCAGATCTGAGGACACAGTATTTATCACAACACAAATGCAGAAATGATGCATAAAAGCGCTGAGATGAAACACTGACCCACTGAGAGAACGATCCGCACTGACGCTTTCACAGTTTGAGGTGTTTTGGGACTGTTTGAAATGATTCTATGCTTTAATATTGCACTATTTGTGCACATTTCATGTCACCATGACCTAATATTTTCCCTAAATTTGCAGTGTACAGTTAAAGAATTAGGGTTTTAGGGGGGAAAGTGTAATTTGCCATGTTTAAATATATATTTTGGACATAAATATACAACATTATTGAAAAAAAATTAAGATTAAATGAATGTTGTAAAATTAAGATTGTTAAAACATTTATTTAACAGCAAAATATATTACAAAATTTAGTCATAAATGTAGTTTTTACACAGCTTACGCTTAATTGTATGCAATTAAAGAAGTTGCTCTGAACTAAAAGTGTAGCTTTCAGAGATTACTGTAAACATGTTGTAAAAAATGCAGATTAGGATTTTGAAATATTTATTTACTAAAATAAACGACAAAATTTAGCCAAATATATTAGAAATATCCAATCCTAAAATGCACTTTGGGTGAATGAGAGATATTTACATATATGTTTTAGAATTTATAAATCTACTTAGAGCTTTAATGTATATTTATACATGTTTCTTAAAAAAACAAACAAACAGCCAAAGCGTCGGATAACTACATCTAACTAAATATATTTGAAAATCAATGATAGTAATATTATTTGCATATCTGTACACTTTAAATTGTATACTGGGTGTATTTAATCAGTTTCACACTCTAATAATTGCTGGGTTGTTGTAACCCCAGGTTTGGTCAAAAATGGAGAATTTTAAAATTAAATGAAAATGAAATGTTTTAAGCCAACTGATACATTTTGTACATATTACAACCAACGTTCAGCGTATTAATGTATTAGGAAATATGATGAAGAAATTATTTTGAGACATAATAATAATAATAATAATAATAATAATAATAATAAAGTATTTTCAGGATTATTAATAATTAATAATCAAAATATTAGTGGTAATAATAATAGTAATAATTATAATATTAAGTATTTTCAAGATTATAAATATTTAATAACAACAACAATAATAATAATAGTAAAAATAATAATGAAAATAAAAATAAGTATTTTCAAAATTATTAATTATAGTAATAATAGTAGTAGTCAAAATAATCATAATAATATTGATAATAATAAGTATTTTCAAGATTATAAACAATTAATAATAAGAATATTAGTAGTCATAAAAATAAAAATAATAATATTAATAATATTAATTATTATTAATTATTATTAATCTTAAAAATATTGTTGCAAATAAACAATTATACTGGAAAATAATATGTCAAAATCAAACAAAACATATTTATTTCAGACAATATTATTATCATTAATAATAATAATCATTATTATTAATAATAATAATAATAATCAAAATACTTAATTGAAGCAAATAAACAAACATAGTTTACTGGAAAATACTATGTTAAAAAATATTTCAGACATTAATATTACTATTAACCTGCAAAGACTTATTAATTTATATTATAAAATCTTATATATTACTATATTTATCACAGTACATTAAAAAATGACAATGAAGTTTTTATTTTATTTTAATAACAATAATTAAAAACCCATAATAATAATAATTATTATTATTATATTATTAACAATTATTAGTAATCTTAAAAATACTTGACTGCATTAATTAACAATTATTGAATACTGAAAATGATTATGGCAAAACAAAAAACATTTAATTCAGACATTATTATCATCATTATCATTATTATTATTATTTATCTTAAAAGACTTAATTGCATCAAATAAACAATTGTAATATTTGAGAAAATATTATGTCGTAACCAAAAACATATTTATTTCAGGCATTATTATTATTAATAGTAAATTATTCTTATTTTATAATAATGAAAATACTTAACTTGAACAAATAAACAGTTATAGTGTACTGTAAAATATGATGTCAAAAACAAACAAAAGAATTAAGATATTATTTTGTATTAATAATAATAATGAAAATAACCGTAACAAATATAAACTTAGTGTATTGGAAATCATGATGTGAAAACATTTATTTAATAAAATAAATAACTTTAAATAACATTATTTATCATTATTATTTATATTAATTATAATCAATCTTGAAAATACTTAATTGCCTCAAATACACAAATATATAAAATAAATATTATCATTAAAGACACAGAATAACCATGTATGCATGTAAAGCATCCTTTAGTTGCACACAGCACACACAGAAACACAGTGAGGATTTTATCCTGACAGTATGTGCTGTGTCTGTATCTCAGTGAGCTCCTCAAGGCCGTGTTTATGTCCTGCTGAAAGCATTTGCTGGAGATTGAGCTGCACAACGAGTGAACACATTTACAGCACATGTGATCACACAGATGCTCAACAATTACAGCTGCCTGCTAAAACACTCAGTGTGAAGCTACAGAAATCATGTCGACATGACAAAAGCTTAAGCACAGCGAGCAGCAAACAAACACATATTACACACTGCTAAAATGGGTTGTTTCTAGTCCTAATGTCTAAAAACTCTTAAATTAAGAAGCCCTTGTTTTTAGAAATATTATGTCATATGCCAAAATTAAGTGAGTTTTCCCTTAAAACAAGCTAAATAATCTGCCAATGGGGTAAGTGAAATAATCTTATGCCAAAATTAATAACATGAATATTCTGCTTAACCCATTGGCAGATTATTTTGCTTGTTTTAAGGAAAAACTCGCTTAATTTTGACATGTTTTTCTTAAAACAAGACAATATATTTTGATTATCTAAAAACGCTTCTTAATTTAATCATTTTGAGCTATTTGGAGTAGAAACAAGATGAAAACACTAAGTAAGAACAGGATTTTCTGCAGTGCATTCAGCCTCCATCACCCTGCATTACACCTACATGCATGTGCTGTTTCTGTGTGTGTGTGAAGGTCATTGCTGACTCAACAGAGTGTGTTTGAGCTGAAAAGAGGGCTTTAATGATCTTTAAAGGTGCCTTAATTTGAGAAAATCTGCTTAAATCTAGGCATAGTCGAATAATAAGAGATCACGGCCATACTGTGAGCCTCAGACAACATTGTCTGGTAACATCTCTTTCAAATTTCCTATAAAATGTTGTCATAAAGTGCCAAATATTGAATATTGAATCCAAAACATTGGTAGTAATTTGTTCAAATATTAATATAAGTTCGAGAGGCAGCTTATGGAAAAACTTTCCTACCGTTTGCATGGAAACATTTACATTTATTTTGATGAATTGGAAAAAAATCTGAATTTCTGTGACCCACAATGCTAGCAAACATGTAACGAGACAAAATAATGATTAAACTTATGAAATTGGCAACAAAACTTTAAAATTGACTGAGTTTCTAAGATCGTTTTGTAAAAGAAAAAAAAAAACATACAGATTTCTATGTTCAGTGTATACTGTATACATTTATTAATCCCCCTATGTTTGTTTGTGATGGTTTGCTCCACCTATCATTGGACTGTTTTAAGTTATCATTAAGGGGAGCTTTAAATAAACAGTAAAAACAGTTTTTGATTGTTTATTTGTTTATTAATGTCCAGAAAACTATTGAATATTAAGGTCTTTGCCAAATATATTATAAAGATTATCGATTCTTCATTGCCAAATGTGTGTAGAGTTATCATAATCTGAATAGTTATCAAATTGTTTGAAATGGATAATACAATATAATATATTTTTGCCATACGTTGTTTAATGTGAATATATTGAATTACATTTTAAATGATTGGCACATTTTCTTCAAAATTTCCTATGAAACATTGTCATAACACCAAATATTTATTATTGAAGTTAAACGCAATCTCACGGGAAATCGTAAGTTTTTGATTTAGTGGCTTATTCATATAAATTCGTACGATCTAATTAGTACAATTTAGTACGATTTACTCATCACCCAATGACGGTTGGGGTTAAGGGTGGGGCTGGGTGCCACGCCTCCTTTTCAAAATCGTGCATTTTCATTCGACTGAACTTGTACGAATTTGAATTAGCCACTAAACTGACAGAACGTTTCCTCGTGAGATCAGGCTGAAAAAATTAATTTGAATAACACACTTTTTGACAGTTTATACAAAAAAAAAAACAAAAAAAAAACACACATATAAGTAAAAATAATAAATCCACAGGTCTCTTCACCGTTTTTGACACGTGTTATATTTAATCTACTCGTTTAATAGACTATAATACTAAAATCTCAAAGATTTTGTCATGGGCAACTGCATACAAACCCTTAAAAATTGACTAAAATGTTTTGTAAAAGAGAAAACATTTCAGCTCTTCTATGTTTAGTTTATGTGTACATTTATTAACCACCCCCCCCCCCTTTTTTTGTTTGTAATGGTTTGCTCCGCTTATCACTGTACAGCTTTTAATCATTGTTTCATTAAGGGGTGCTTGACAGTAAAAAATAAGTTTTTAATTGTTTATTCCTGTTTATTAATGTCCAACTGTTGAATGCTGAAGTCTTTGCACAATATATTAGAAAGATCATCGATTCTTCACTGCCAAAAGTGTGAACATTTATCATAATCTGATTAGTTATTAAATGAATATGTTTGAAATGGCATACTACAATAGCATTTATTTTATTCTGCTGTATTATTTGCAATTAACATTAATGTGAATATATTGATTTACATTGCAAATGTTTGTCACATATTCTCTGAAATTTCCTATGAAACATAGTCATAGAGGCAAATACTGAATATTGAAGTTAGAACATTGTTAAAAAAAAGTTTAACAATTCATTTTAACAACACTCTTTTGATAATTTGTACCAAAAAGAACTGACAAATACAAGTAAAAACTAAATCCACAGGTCTCTTCATTATTTCGATACATATTTGTTTAGCTCCTCAAACTCCACTTTAATATACTATAATTCTAATTTAAATCATTTTTTTGTCATAAGCAACTGCATACAAAAACGTTAAAGTAGTTTTACTATGTTTCTAATGAATGTTTTGTAAAACAATCCTCATATTTTCCTCTAAAATGTTTAATGTTTACATTAACTCCGTGTATAACTGAACGGAGCTCTCAGTGACTGGACTGCAGACCTCTGTGTAATATATGAGTGATCTCCTCTACATTATAAATCAAACCTGAGTGCTGTCTGTGCTCTGAAAGCTTCTGAATGTCTGTGGATGTTGAGTGTTGATCTTGTTTTTATCGTGTCCGTGTTTATCACCGATGTTGAGGACGGACAGCAGCAGCTCCGGTTACCGTGTGTTTCTGTGGCGACGCTGTTGTCTTAGCAACAGAACTCAGCAGAGTGCACGAGGAACACGCGCGCGCCCAACAGCGGCGTCCTTCACGCGCCAAACTCGAGTGTTTATATTCTTCTTCTCCTGTTTAAAAAGGTTCCGTGAAGTTAAAAATCAAGTGTCGGTGTGTTGGTTTCAAGGATATCTGTAAGCTACAGAGTGCTACAAAACAGTGACAACATCCGTGTTTAGAAGGTATAAACCTGATAGGCTGTTTCTCAACATGCGTTCTTCAGCGTTTTTTTTATTTTTTATTTTTTTATTATGCTTTAAACAACATATACATGACAATACAGCAAACAAAACAATGCCAGGGTGATAGAAAGTAAACGATAACAACAATACATAAAATAACATAAAATAAAACAAACATAAAAATAAGAGTATAAATACTTAACTAAAAATTCTTACAAATATAAACAAGCAGGACCTTTACATTAATCAAAGATATTGAAACTAGAGCACAGTTGGACAGTTTTAATGGCCTTTCGATTAGCACTATGCTGAATAGTGCAAAAGTAATTTTTCAGTTCCTTATAAAACACAGTAAAACAAGGTTTTTTGTTGGAAAATTTACACTTATGAATATGAAACTTAATTAGCAAAACAAATAGGTTAATAACAAAAGCTTCATTATTCAAATTATCATAATTAAAATACATTAAGTTTCTCATTAATTGTATTTTATTAACGTCTACCCCACCCCAACCCTAAACCCAACCGTCACAGTAATGTAAAAACAGTAATTGTACAGATTATTATTTATGTTATCTATTAAATTACCTAATAAATTGTATTTTTTAACGCCTACCCTAACCCTAAACCCAACACAGTACTGTAAAAATATTATTCCTTTGTTATACAGTGTCTTAAAAAGATGCTGCTATATTAAATGTGCATATCGCACTTCCGGCCGGCCGCATATCAAATCTAGACTTTACTGTCAAGTCGTGAAGTATCAGTGACGTATGGAATATTATTTCCCGGTCCAAGCCGCTATTCATTAAATTGAGAAAATATTAGTTTGGCCACTTTTTAGTCCCATCACTAGGCCCACACGGAATCTGCGCACACAGAATTCCGCACATTTTCCGCACATTTTCCGCAGAATTCCACAGATTTCTGCAGATTTTTAGTCCATTATTAATTCTGTTTATTTACTTGAGTAAATGTGTAAATCTGAATTTATTCAGTTTTTATTCAGTAATTTATTACTTTTTATTTCATATATTAAGGTTTTAGTTATGATACTCCGCTGGATACTCCCAAAATAATTCCGCAGAAATCCTCAGATTTTTACCAAAATTCTCTGCAGAAATAGCAAAAAACGTCTGCAGATTCCGCCTGGCCCTGCCTATCACACATTAAAGTGACTTTTATATAAAATCATAGTGTACACAACACTTTGGACTTGGTCTTTGGACTTGCTACATCATAGACACCAATATTTTAACAACTTATAAAATATCGATCACTTTCTGGCCATCGGATATTAGGCATGGATAACCTCTATATGTATCGTGATTCTCAAAAGTATTACATCGCTTTTCAAACGTTACCATTTAATGAGTCTCTATTCAGTTTGATAGAGCGATTGGACCCTGAAGTCGCTTTATGTGACGTCACACTTAACAAGCGGATTGCTCAGTCACTCAAGTAACAGAACTCGTTGTGTAGAACAAGAAGTAAATGAAACATGCTATACTTTCTGCGATGGTGTCGTGAGGAGTCGCAGACATGGTATCAGTTGTCGTGAACCAAATTACACAAGAAGAAATGACTGAATCTTGTGTCACGATGCCCATTTATTGTTTAAGTATCCCCACGACACCCTACGTCAAGGAAATCATGCTGAAATCTTGACAAATTCGTGTGATCTTACCGGGGGTTGAGTCCCTGTGTTCATCAGGGGTCACCACAGCGGTATGAACGGCCAACTATTCCAGCAAATAATTTACACAGCAGAGGCCCTTCCAGCTGCAACCCATTACTGGGAAACACGCACTTATTCTCACACACACACACTCATACACTACAGCCAATTTAGTTTTATCAATTCCCCAATAGCACATGTCTTTGGACTGTGGGGGAAACTGGAGCACCCGGAGGAAACCCATGGCAACACGGGGAGAACATGCAGACTCAACACCGAAAGGACATCTGGTCCAACCGGGACTCAAACCAGTGACCTTCTTGCTGTGAGGCCACAGTGCTAACCACTGAGCCACCATGTGGCCCATTTTACAGACTTATTTCTCTATATTATTTCTTATATTATCTCAAACTACTAAAATGACAGTAAAAGTCACTTTGTTAAACTGTAGAGTTGAATTTTCAACATCAAAAGTGGACAGAGCAGACATTTGATTCTCAAATTAAAGAAACTGATCATTAACAGATGTTATTTATAGTAATTCAAAGTGCATATAGTTCTTTTGTTGACGTATACAGATGCTGCGTAAAAGATCAGTAATCATGATGACGTTTCTGAGTGCTTCTGCAGATCAGAGCGGTGTGCGTGTGTGTGTGATGATGATGATGATGATAAGGAACAGACAGGTGCTTTAGGAGAAGATGTGGGATTTACAGCAGGACTGTCACGCGAGGAAACAGCACAGAGATCTAATCACACACTGATGGAGGAGAAGAGAAAAGAAGTGTTGACGGCGCACAGAAGACGTCAGAGAGGAAGAAAGAGGCCAGAACACTGCTGTGATTGTTGTGTAGGACGCTTCTCACGAAACCAGACATTATTTATTATGCATGCACTGTAAGAAATATCCATTAGTCAAAGGGCACCTATTATGCAGAAATCACTTCTATAAGGGGTTTAAACACAGTTGTTTGTCAGCAGTGTGTGAATATCTCCAGCCTCTAATGGAAAACATGAATTAATTGTATTGTTTATAATCAGACTTGATTAAATCAGTCTGCAGAAACACTTAGATTGACATTCTCCATTTGTTTGTGTCATCAGAGGGGGAAAGCCACGCCCACTAGTGCCCATCTCTCCCTCATTAGCATAAACAGCAGCCCTGAGTGAGAAGCAGCCGTCTGTCCATTAGCCATTAGAGCAGGGGTCACCAACCTTTTAAATACTGAGAGCTACTTCTTGGGTACAAATTAGTGTGAAGGGCTACCAGTTATTAAATAACACATTTTTCTTAATTTACTTTTAATTATATGTTATTATTAATATCTAATAATATTCATCTATGTGAAGACATTGATCATGTTAATGATTTCTCACAGTAGTTGTCAACAATGATTTAACAAGTTGGATAAATAACAACATGCAACACTTCATTTGTCTGAAAAAGTTTTTTTTAAATATATAACTTAAAGTAATTTTCAAATTTACACCAATGCAAGTGTGATTTAAAAAGAATACCTATAAAATATTAGATGCAGCTTACTCATATGTGGTGCTATGGTGAGCTATTTTTAGAAAAGGCACGCGGGCAACTCATGTGAACCTGGCGGGCTACCTGGTGCCCATGGGCACTATGTTGGTGACCTCTGCATTGGAGTTTTGAATCTGCCACTATGCTGACACACAGGTGTTTGTAGCTCCGCCCACTTCTAAAAAAAAGGTCTATCTCATTTGCATTAAAAGCACCAGAAAACACCACAATTAAGAACAAAGCCTGAAAGGGTCAGTTTCAGAGACTTAGAAAACATCTGTGTGCTATTTTGAGCTGAAACACACACACACACACACACACACACACACACACACACACACACACACACACACACTAGAGACATCAGACTTATTTTACATCTTGTAAAAAAGTGGTATAATAGGTCACTTTTGAAGGGATAGTTCCTACAGAAATTAAAATCCTGTCATTATTTGCTCTCGTTTGTTTTAAACATGTCTGTTTTTCAAAAATGAAGATATTTTGAAGAATGCTGGAAGCTGGTAACCATTGACTTCCATTTGTTTTTCCTACTATGGAAGTCAATGGCTACAGGTGTTCAGCGTTTTTCAAAATATCTTCTTTTGTTCAACAGAAGAAAGTCAGAAAGCAGTTTGTGAGTTCTGCAGATTTGTTTGTTGGGAATTTTGTTTCACAAAAGTACTTTGACATGCAGTCTTCATGAATCTGTGCGCTATAAAACTAAAACAGTGTAAATACTGAAATGATAAACATTATGTCTGCTTCCTGTGTGTTACTGTATTGTGTGACCATAAACAGTTGAAACCAGAAGTTTACATACACTGTATTAAAAAAAAACACATGTTAATGTTAAAGAGTCATGTTAATGTGACTAATCAATTTCTCTTTTAGGTAAGTTAGGATTGTCAGATGTGTTTCTGTTGTGCTTAATAGCTGAATAATGAGAGAGAGATTTGTTGAGAAATTGTTATGTCTTTTCTTGAAAGTCAAGTTTACACACAATAAGATTATTCTGCCTCTGGAAAAGCTCAGATGATGATGTCAAGGTTTTGGAGGTTTCTGATAGGCTAATTGACAACATTTGACTTAATGTGAGGCACAACTGTAGAATAGTATTGAAGGAAAAGCTCAAACACACTGCTTCCTTGTGTGACAACATGGGCAAATCAACAAGCCAGAATTAACAACAAAGCCAGATTACCATTAGCTAAATTACTCTGGGGAAAAGACTAATGTTTGGAGACATGTCCTGTGCTCTGATGGAGCTAAGATTGAACTGTTTGGCCATAATGACCAGCGTTACATTTGGAGGACAAAGGGGAAAGTGCACAAGCCTAGCAACACCATCCCAACTGTGAAGTATTGGGGCGGCAGCATCATGTTGTGGGGCTGTTCTGCTGCAGGAGGGACTGGTCCACTTCACAGCATAGATGGCATCATGAAGACAGAACATTATGGAGAAATACTGAAGCAACATCTCAAGACATCAGCCAGGAAATTACAACTTGGCCACAAATGGGTCTCCAAACAGACCATGAGCCTAAGCATACTGCCAAATTAGTTAAACTGTGCTTTAAGGACAACAGA